GCTGAATTGCACAAAACGCATGATCGCACCGGCTAGCCTGGTGCGCGTTGCCATTTATTTTCTTTATGTTTCATTTTCTGACCCCGACTTTACTGCTGGTGATCGCAGCCCTCCGGACGAGCTGTTCATAGCCTTTATTAATATGATCCTGATAGGGCCTGTACTGCCCGTACTGGTCTTCCTATTTTGCCCTTGACTGTATTGGCCGTTGTTTATAGTTCTCTCCGCGGGCTGTTTAAGCTTTTTCTTGATATGATGCTCATAGGGCTGTTACGGCCAGTACTGCCTTTCCTACTACTTTGACACGCTGGGAACACTACGAGAGATGCAGGTCGGCGCAAAGCAGGCAGACAGAATTTACTTTGCCCTTCCTTCACGTTTTAACTTCTCTTCTTTCCTTCCTTTCTCACTTTGTTTGCTTCCTCACTCACATCTATTTCTTCCTGTCATCTGTCTTGCAAATTAGACATATGACTATTCAAAAGATGGCGTGCAGGAGGCTGTACTGATGATTCCCACTCCCACCTGCACGCACTGTTCGGTCTGTGCATACAGCTAAGGGATGAAACACACAGAGACTGCATCGTAAAATGTCTTCATACACACATATGACATTCAAGTGAAATCCTTCTATTCTTTTATTTCCTGTATTGTTCATAAAAAACCGGGCCAGATAAAAGAACATACAGGCGTGTGTACTTACGTTAGGCCCATAATGCATAACGGAGCCGAGATCGAAAGGCAATCCCATCGAATCGCTTTCAGAATCGGAGCGTTTCACGAAATTTCCCTCGGTACCATGAGCGATGTATTCATTGCGGAGTATGATATATGCATCACGATCCGGCCGCGATTGCTCGTGCCAGAAACCCAACGAATGGCCAATTTCATGCGTTATTATTCCAAGCTGCAATTGTTTCGGTCACCAACCAACCTTTTTTTTTTTGTTTTGCATTTTGGTCCATTATTCCACTTACCGTTGCTCAAGTTTTTTCTATCGATGGTGCTCAAATTTTGTTCTGGGTAACCAAAATAAAGAGAAATAATCCTAACAAAATGTTCAAAGAAGTGATTTTTTTTTTTAAATTCGGAATTTTCCAGGTAACATTTTGGCAAAAGAAAATATCCGTCCAAACAAACTTACGTCATCACAACCGTATCCGATTGAAATTTGCTGGCGACCGCCAGTTCGACCAACACTCGAATAACATCTCAAAATTTACGTATTCAATGAGAAATGGGTTAAAGAAGACACAAAATAATCACTGAAAATAATAAAATTTTTTAACTTTCAACGCCCGTATTCCTGAAAACAACTGCGGTCGAATGCTAAATTTTTAAAACATGGAGATTTATGCTATCGAAAACTATCTCACCGAATCATATAAATATTAAAGGTCGAAGAGAAAATATGAAGAAGGGAAGAAAACAAAGAAAACGAGGGAAAGCGTAGTAAAATGGAAAAGGGGACTGAGGAAATTTTTGTAATAGGTAAGAAATGTTTCGTTTCATTAAGTGGTATACATTTCTTACCGTTACTACGATTGGACCTCGTCAGTACAACGATTGTGGTAATAAAATAATTTAGTGAGGTATAGAAATTAATTAAGATAAAAGAGATCAAAATCGGAAGGAATATACCATCTTTTCGATGAGCGCATAAAAAAGTAGCCATGTAGTTGCAAAAATTCAACAGAACGCGGAAAGGGACGGGAAACCGGC